GAGCAATTTATGTATGAAAATTTTAGTCATATTCTCATCAGATATTACCAATATATCATTACAATACCCAATACTAGATTGTTTTTTACAGAACCATCTGTAATGATCCCTAAAACTGAAAAATGTTACATAGATTATCCATCCAAGAAGAGGGCCTAGACAAAACACTGCTTCTTCTAGACTTGACAGTAAATGAGCACAAACTCATATGACACATTCTATCACTTTACATGCATTAATAAAATCAGACAAATTATATAGAGTAATTAGACAGAGGCTAGTAGATAAGGATGTCATATGATGAGCATTTATATAAATTATTTATTGAGATCTAACTTAGCCCAAGATGATTGTGTTATCTTCAGGCAAATAGGCTGATAGGTTAAGATTACATAAATCCAGTGCTTGCAGCAAATGTTACCAATTACTAAGTTGATCTTCAGCTGCACTAACACCATAGTAGAATTTGTTTGCAAGCCTGTCTTGAAGTAAATCATCTAATATATGACATGTTTGTTCTCCTCAAGTGCAATCTGGCATTTCCAATGCTAAATACAAACTTGGATTTCATGAAATGGTGTAAATAATGTCACAGTAAATTCATGAAACTTTTGCTTAAAGGAATCTAACAAAACGCTTTCATCAAGTCTTGATATTACAACATACTTTCATGCAGTGATGTCAGGCCCATTGCTAGCGTCTTTTGAATGAAACAGGGGGCTGGCATTTAAGTTAAGGGGGCTGGCATTTAAGTTAAGGGGGCTGTGAGTAAGAATTTGCACACTAAAATTTATTCACCTCATTTTCATAGTTGGCAGGGCCAAATGGGTTTTTGGCAGAGTTCAGCCACTCCCTGGTGATGATTCTGAGTGACATTCCTTAATATTGATTTCTCATCAAGCATAAGACTTATCGGCCAGTTTTGGAAAATGTGGTTACTTCTTATGATCGTCTGTAAGTTTTATTAAGAAGAAAGATTCAAATCATTAACTATCATACCCACATCTCAAAGATACAACCATGTCAAATTGTTGTTGTAGTAACTGTCCCTCGCTTTAAGGAGGTTGAACAGGTCCCATATTAATAACAGCTTCCAAGAGAGATATACTACCATTATATCCCTTGACAACAGGATTAAAAATTGGTGAATTCATATGCAATTTCTATGTTAGCAAACTATTGGGATCCACCCAAACAGCATCTGAATTAAAGTCTGTTTAAACTTTTGAAGAAATGAGTATTTTGGCATGAACATTGTAGAAATATACATTAGAACAGTCATATATAGCAACTGGTAAAAATGTCCATTCCTTCATGGTAACTTTGATTCATTTGAAGTGTTTAATAATCTCACTTTATTTCTTATGATGTCTAAAGTTTGGCTTAGGCAATGTGTTGGACACTTTGGAGTCTCTGGAATCCAAGAAGTTGAAATATGGCTCAATGGCCACCAATATCTCTTTTCTAATGTCTAGAGGTGTGTCTGTTTCCAAGAACTATCCTGGTCACTTGGTTATGTCTATTTTAAGAGCACACAAAATGTAATCAATCTTATTCTGCCATCTCAACTCCACTCACTTTCTTACTGATGTGATGTAACTTTCCTCTGTTTTCCATGGCAACTGTTCTGTTGAGCTTTTTTCCTTAGTGCCTCAACTTCATGAATTTAAGCATGCTACTAAATTGGCAACAAGGTTTTACAATTTTATTGTTGAAAAAGCTAAAGGCAACTGCCAGTTCTATTCTAATAATTTATTTTCTCACACTTCTTACCTGTGGAACTTCTTTCAAATTTCTTCTTTCCCTGTCATCTACAATCTTCAAAAATTTAAATGCAATGTCAATCACCATCTTCTGTCTTTCTGAACCTAGTTCCTTTATTGTCCTTTTCCTCACTAAAATCTTCTCATTCTCTTTCATTCTCTGTAACCCCCTGCATCCAAGTGTCAATATCAACATGCTTGGGATGAAATGATTAAAAAAATATGCTTGTGTATGACATATTATATTTGAATTTATTTGGGTTTTTTTTTATATACCAAGTAACAACAGTCTGCTGTTACATGGTATAAAGAAAACCCAAATAAGTTCAAATTATGATCTGAAGTATACCTAGTGGAATTGCAATACTATTGGCAAACAAAAAAAATGCTCCCAATATCGCAACCATTAAACTCTTGAACAACAGAGTGTCATATTTTAAAGTTTATGTCATTTGGAGAAAGCATGAATTTCTCCAATGATAAACATGGAAGGCTGGCCATGAGTGTACTTTTGTGAACTTCAACCTGAATAATCTTGACTAAAGAGGATTGAATTGTATATGTTTTCCATTGCAATATCATTAGTAAGGTGCAAAGAATGATGTTCACAAAACACATGCAAATATGGAAGGCTTACGGCCACATAATGGGGAAACTCCAATTCTCATAAAATCACCAAAGTTAAGCAACATTCAGCATGGTCAGTACCTAGATGGATGATCACTTGGGAATGCCAGCTAAACATAGAGCTATTCAATACTAAATATTAGTATGTTCCATAAGTAATTATATATTTTTACTGTAAAAATTATGAGTCAACCAACCAAAATAGAACCAAAGTCAAATGATAGGAATCTGTGTCTGGAATTATTTCAGGATCTCTTCTATCCAACACCATGTAGTTTAAAATGCATTCCAGAGTTTAATTTTGAAAATTTGCAAAGAAGTAATTTGGATTCTTTATGAATTTTACTTGAGAAGCAAATACAATTTGTCGGTATTTGCAACAATCTGTTTAAGTAAAAATGTATAAACTTTCAATTTTTGTATCACATTGTTACAAATATGGCTTTTGTCTGTCAACGGAAAATAAAAAAAGTAGTTATCACAATTCATTGCCATATTACGTTTCAGCTGTTGTATGCCCTGGCATTCTGCAGGTGATTGGAATTTCAAGGACACAAGGCCCAGTGGATAAAGATGTTGGTTAGACCCAGTTTTTAGGCCACAGCAGTGGTGAACCAAAATTTTGGAGAGTTGAGTTAAAGAGAAATAACTGAGACATCTGGAAAAGGCATGGCACGTAGAACTAGAACAGTCTACCCCAGTGGATGAAATAAAGGCTTTGGTACAAAATTCCAATCACCTGAAGAAGGCTCGAGTGTACAATGGCCAATATGTTGTGAATATGGCAATGAAGATGAGGATAACAGTCTGAATAATGTAAATAATCATAATATGTCATCTCAGAGATATAGACAAATAGTTATCACAAACGGAAAAACCAACACCAAGATTCTATCCACAGAAGTCCTTGATTTTGTGTCTGATGGAATATGAATGCTGTTGTTCATTATGAGTTATTGGAATTTGGATGGAACATCTTTTCCTTCTTCATCAATGTGCCATGACACTTCAGGATTTTGGTCATCATGGCTCTCCACAAATTCCTGTGTTGTAGTTTGTAGTTCCTATCCTTTATAGCTCATAGTAAATTTTATCCTTTTACTATCTCTCCTAAACCCTCTGTTCTGTGAACTATTTACATAAGCCAGTTAGGTAAATTATATGCTGTTTTCTTCTATCCCTTTTAGTATGCCTTGTGAGTGTTAAATTTTTGTAAGCCATTATTCCCCATTATGTATCCTAGAAATTTCAACCTTTTCTGATATTAAGTATAAGTGTTGTTGTAATTTAATTTTCTCTAAAACTTCATCATTGCTCACATATTCAGTTCATGGTAATTTCCTTTCTGTGTCTGCTATTAACACTGTGTCATTTGCATATGTTATGTTGTTAAAATTGTGGCTACTAATAATGAATCCTGGTAGGACTTCTAATTCTTTCAGAATCACCCCACTGTATAGGTTTTAATAAATCTAGTGAGAAGACACATCTTTGCCTTACAGTCCTTTCTATTTTTGTATATTTACTGAATTCATTTTCTAAGGACCATCATTGTAGATATTTATTATCATCAACTTGATTGGGTAAACAGAGCATTAAGTAAAAAATGTACAATTTTGGTTAAAAAAAAATGTTATTCTCATTTATAACAATACAAGAGAACGCTCTGCAAAACAAACTCAAGAAAAAATAAGATTGTTGCTTCCATATCCGCCACACTCTGTCCTATGCACTTACATACAAGAATTAGATTAGGTTTTCTTCCAAACTGTTGCAAAATGGTTTTGCTATTGAAGTAGCTTGAATTGAAAAGTTATATATAATGTTGTGCATGAAATCAGAATGAATAAATGTGCATATAAATTGGTACATGTGTGAGACTCAAATAGATGAATTTATATATGAACTTGCATTGTCTCATTTCTAGGAGATGAGATGGTGATTACCATGTGACTTCTATGACAGAGATAATATTCAAGAACCACACTAAGTATCTTCTGGATCAAGGTACCAACCAATAAACATTTATCACCTATTTCAAATAAACTTATTCTAGATTTTTACCATCATGCTCTTAGTTGATACTCTAGTTAATGTATCACAGAAGCTATAAAACTTTAAGATTGATTTTTGCAGGAAGCAGAGTTTAACTGTATTTTTCAAGATTTTATGAGTGTAATCAATTATGAAAAGAAGCAGCAGGCAGGTTAGATTCATGGCTCCAATTTCTCCACAGAGAATTGTCCCATTGGATCTGCTTTGTGAATTTCATGACACAGTAATTGTAAGTTCAATACTTAGGCCAGGCATTGTGTTCTTGGATTCAGTGTAAACAGGGTAAGCAATAATTGAGCAGTACTAAAAATGAGAACTAGATGAGAAGTGGATAGTAGAACAAGAACAGTGTACCCCCATAGATTAAATAATAGGTTCAGTTACCCAGATTGATTATACACTTGATGAAGACTGGAGGGCACAAACTTTCTTTAACCTAGAATCTCTTTGTCACATGATTTTATACAGGGTTAATAATTGTTGGTTTGACCATACAGGTTTAAAAAACAAGAACAAGATCAAACAGTTTAACTGTGATATCTTATTTATTTCTAGGAAAATGTGATGGTTTCAAGTGTGCCCAAAGCGGATACTGTATTGCACCCCAGCTGAAGTGCAACCAATTACCAAACTGTGGCCCACAAGACGAATCAGATGAAAGCACAGAAGTGGCTCAGTGTAAGTATTACTTTGCTTTGTTTCTGTCTACATCACCATCAGTTTGCTGAAAACCTGAGCAGCTGCCACCTGGTCAGAGAATATTCCCACTGCAACCTACCTACCTGTCTACCCACCCACTTTCCTTTTTATGTACCTCATTCACCTGTATACACCTGCTCCTGAGCTAGAGAGAAAAAATGGCTTCTTTTTATTTTTTTTTTTCATCTTTTATTTTTACATATCATGAGTGTTGGTTTGAATGTAATGAAAAATAATAGACTTGAAATTTCCCTTATATCTACACCTACAAAACAAGTAATATCGCTCAGCATTGCTTTGTTAAAATATCATCCAAGATTATTATTTCTCATCATATTAATCACCAAATATGGTACAAAGATAAATATCATTAGTATATATATATATATATATATATATATATATATATATATATATATGGGGGTGCTGAAAAGTTCTAAGCCCAAATAAGATGAAATGAAAAAAAACATTGGGTTTTTTTATATCCCTTCTTTGTAAGTCTGAGAACTTTTCACCAACCATTATCATAAATTTTGCTTTCTTCTATTTCTAAGCTAAAGGTTTCTTTCACTTTATTTTTGCCATTCAAATGACCTTTTTTTTTCTTTACTTGTATCCCAAACAGAACAAATTCATAAAAAATCGTTTCTTTCTTTTCCATATTCTAGACTGTTCATAGAAAGTTATTTTCTTTAATATGACAAACGGTAAGGCTGATTTGAGGTAAATGATGTCCTTTATATGTGTCCCCATCTGTAACAGGACAATTGAACTCACTAAAAATGATGTAAATTGCACTGTTCTACAGGGGTTTGGGCATATTGTTTCGAGCTCACCATGTTCCTGATGCAGTGTTGTGATGCAATACATGTTTTGCAATGCCCATCAGGCTGATTGACAGACAAAATGTACATTTTACTTATGTTGATTATATAAACAAAAATAATATATTTTTCATACCCTATATTTGAACATATTTCCTTTACTTGTAAAAATTCTGTTGGTGAGTTGTTTTTTTTTAATTACTCATCTTACAAGCCTCATAGTCTGCATCACTCTTAGACCATTAGTTATTTTTCTGTTTTTCCTATGAAATGATGATTCTGTAGTTCAGTTTTAAGTCTAGACACCCTACCATCTGTGCACAACTAGATTGTGCACAACTAGATTTTACCCTCCTTTCCAAGCAAGTTAGCACTCAGACCTTTTGCAATATATTTCTTTATCAGTGCATACACTAAAAGCTAGTCTCCAGTGCCAGATTTACATATGGACTAGTATGAGTTGTAGCCCAACACTAGAGGAAACCGCAAGGGCCCTCTACTCTTGGACTAAACCTAAAAAGATAAAAATAAAGAAAATAAATATATAACAACAGAGGAAATTTGTTTATTTTCAGATTTAATAGGGCTCCTTTGAATAAATTTCAAACAATTTAGAGTATTTGGGTCTCTCTTGCTGGAGTAAGTCTTAAATTCAGTAGAGTTTCAGTTTAATACAGGCCCTTCATTCTAGATTCATTTCTGTAGGATGTAATGTTCAGATAAAAATTATCATGAAGTTGCTAATTTTTCTACACTAGAAAAGCTTCATCTAAATACATATACTTTTTTTTTTCCAGGCTTGCTTGTCTTTCTTTTCCTTTTTTTATAAACTGTTTTAAGGTAATAACATTTTACCAAAATGCCATTTCATATTAGAGTCCCACTAAGCTAAAATTATAATCTTCTTCCTTTTGTTAGCAATTTCATGGAGATAACAAACACATGAATTCTGTCATAAGTGCAAATACATTTATCCAATAGTTATTGATGCTACATGATCTTATTAGTTTATACTAGTAAGATGTGGATTAGTTCCAAGCTTGAATTTGTAGCTCACCCTGTGTTAATTATTTTCAGTATGCATGTACACAATTGGTGCAATGAGGGAGGTGATGCTGAAAAGTTGTAATCTCCAGGACCAGGCATCCTCCATTTATTTTTTCTGGTCTATCCAAAGACAGAAAAACAACTGAAAGATAAAAATGTAGTTACCAACCCGAAAAGAGAGGTTTACTAACTAATGGCAGAAAAGTCAGCAGTTCTGAAAGCAGACTACTCGACTCACTCAGCTTTTCCATTCACGAAACAATGAAAGTGATTAACGTGTTCTCCACAGCAGTCCATTCACTAGGCAACACTAAAGCAATGATTGGCTAGAGGTCAAGCTGATTTACATCTTCATTGACCTCATCCAGTGGAGAGGCATATTTTTATTTTTTTCTTAAAGACATTTGACACTAAAGCACTTTGGCCTGAATATTCTTCAGTACAGCAGAAAAATGTTTATTTCCATTTGTTGATTTCCTGAGTTACATTTCTGTTAATCCTTCCTCTTTCTCACTAATTATCGTTCTTAACTCTCTTAGCTAACAGGGTGGTCTTCAAAGCCCATCTGTGATAGATTGCTTATCACCGACTTTACTATTTGTATTGTTTGGATCATAGTCAAATTATTAATATAATTTTTTAATCTATATATTGTGGGTGTTTTTATAAAATCTCAAAATTTGCTGAAATAGAAGCAGGTGCATTTAACTTTTTTCAGTGATAAAATAAGATTTTTTATTCACATCCTGTATAATGGGAACTTGTAAAACACCCTGATCAGTTTTTAATCCCTAATCTTAATGCCTTTTACTTTGCTCTAACTTTTTTTTTTTGCTAAACTATTATACCCAAATGTGTCATTTTTCAATTCTTCTGAAATTGGTAGATATGCTTCTCCAATGGATAGCACCATGTTTTATTTGTATGATCCAAGTTTTCAGATTTACTGAGCATGTTACTATCTTTGTAATTTCTTTTTCTTACAGTGGAGCAATAAGTTGTTTATTTTTGATCAAACAAATTTATTTCTTAAAATTATAGAACCCAAAGTCATTTCAACTTCTGAGATTAACTTTCATTCTTCTCTATATTTTACAAGTATCTTGGTTTTTTATCACATTTTTAGCCAGTCTTTTCATCAATCTTCAGAAACAAAGGAGAAGATTCAGATGAACACTTGTCTTTATTTTTTTTATACCATCCAAGCTTTCTATATCATGTAGCAGCACATGTATCTTTTAGCTATCAAGGTCTTTACAATCAGAATTTTTTACTCATAAGTTACTGCTTTGGTTTCAAATTACTATATGTCATTTTCTTGAATACCAAATAATAATAGTAGGAGTAATGGTACTTTTCAGTCGTGTGAAATTCTATATTTTCATTTGACTACACATTTTCTTTATTTAGTATTTTCATCTGTCTGTTTATTTTTATCACAATGTTATGTGATATTTAGTTGATATTATTATTCAGATTAAATAGAAGCAGCTTTAAACAAGACTTGTACTCATATCTTATACCATGGAAACTTGCTATATAATGTAGCAATATGTATACTATACATACTAATACTACTGCCACTTGCTTTGTTCTAACTTATTTCACAGCTATATTGAGAATCACCAGTTTTAAGGATATATCAGCCAAAATGAAATAAAATAAAAATAAATGTGGGGAATATATTTATTCCTGCCATGATTCTCATTTCAGTGTAAGTCACATCTGACTTTTGAAAATATTTCTGGCCAGTTGTAGATTTTCCTTTTTTTTTATCTGAACCACATGCATGAATGACTAATAAACCAGTCTCATATCAGTCAACTCAGCTACTGACCAACAATATTTCAGTGTCACTACAAAAAAATGATGATAGTAGAGTTAAGAAATAAATAACAGTACTTGACCACAACAAATATAGACTTAAACACACACATATGAGAAATGATTAAAAGCAGACCATAGATAAAAGAAATTGGTTTGAATAAATTTCATTTAGATTAATATTTTCTTTCACAAACTGAGATGGCCTTAAAATACTTTACTTATATGGACATCTTTAATGCCAAGCACAGTTCTTGCTTGTCCTACTTGGTTTGCTATTAAGAATATTCCATATGTCTTTCAATATTCATGATCTTTGAGTTTATATATACATTTATGAAAGAATAACTGATATCAAATATCCAAGCAATGGATCCAAGCATAAGATGGATTTTAAGAAAACCACTGGATATTTCATTTTTTTTTAATCTTATGTCAATGTTTCCCATCATAAAATCATCTTCAGAACAAACAAAAAAAAATCTAATGAAAGATTGTTACCATGGCAACCTTGTCACCTAGAAATGCTGTGCTTAGATTTGAAAATATAAATTAATAAAAATTTTTTATTATAAATATCTGTAAAGAAATCAGTGATATTAGGAAACCATTTATTTTTCTATATCAAATCACCATATTTATATTTCAGCATTTTTCTATGTACAAACCTCATTGACTTGTTCACTGATATTTATTTTTAAATTTTAGTTTTCTAACCATAGAAGTTGTAGGTAGCAAAGTTCCCATGATGCCTTTTTCCTTAAATTTTTCAGCTGTTATAATGATGCGCTTATGAAGAAAAACACTGAAAATGGAATTGAAGAAAAATTACACATCTTACTATATTTCACAAATCCCATTATACATACATACATACCCAGAGTCCATCAAAAATGCATACACACTTCAGGAAAGGAAAAACTTGTATAGATATTGTAATACTAAATTTATTCAGACATCACAAGATTAATATAAGTTACTGTTGAACTCTACAATCACATGAGATGCTCAAAATGGTTGCCTTTAGCTTTCAGACATTTATTAGTACAACGTACTACTGCTTAGGTCCAGTGAGATTACTGCACATGCATTTTCAAGTTTTTGTCTAAGGACCACCAATTTAGTCAGTTTTCTGCAATGCACAACCTCCTTTAGGGTCTCCCATAGGTAAAAGTCTAAAAACTATGAAAGATAAGTTTTCCCTTTCCTAAAGTGTATATGCATTTTTGAGCAGACTGTGTGTGTGTGTGTGTGTATATATATATATATATATATATATATATA